GCAGGGCGCTCCGCAGGACCCTGCGCGGAGCCGGCCTTGCCCCGCACGGCCGCAAGCCCGGTCCTGCAGCCAGCCGAAACCTCACACCCTTGTCCGAAGCCTCATGCGGGGGGGGAAAGAGCTCCGCGGCGTTAAAAAGCGATCCAGGTCCTTGCACACGCGAGGTGTTGCAGGGGTGCCCCTGCACCCCACCCCCACCCCCCTTAAATTGCTTTGACAAAGCAACTGCTGCGTGCACTCCTACTTTCATAGTAAAGCTGTGTAGAAGAGATGGCAGCAAGTTGCTTTCGTACTAGGGAGTATTTTTTAAGATGTTAATGGGGATCAGACACGCACTGCTAATTTTGACACACTTAGATGAACTGAATGAAGAGGCATGCAGCTCAAACCCACCTGTTCTAGGTGGGTACAGTCTAATAACAGACGAGTCATCCAGACTCAGTTTAGGGGATAAAACTGAAGCAGCTATGATTTTCCTTGAATTAGGTCTGAACACCACTGTGAATGTGTCTGCCCTCTGCTGACTTCAATTTAGCAAGAACAGATAACAATAGTAATGATCTCGCAGCGGGAGGCAACAGCCCCCCCACGCACAGCACTACTGGGTGCAGGTCCTGAACCCCTCCTGAATCCGCACGTAAATAACTAGCTCACACTAAGTCCGTGCACCATATGCGAGCTTGCTCTGCAAAGACAAAGACTATATACTTGAGCGTAGGCATCTTCATTTTGCTGCATGCAGACATATCCTAAAAATCTGCTCATAATCCTCCTTGTTCCTCCAATCAGAAGCATCTTGCTTTCAGTTGCCCTTCATTTCTCCTTAGGCTTGGATGCTGGCCTTGCAGGACAGTAACTGGCTTCCTGCTCCTCCTGCATGACACTGTTCTAGATCCAGAGCTGGAGACAGAAAGTCCTGGATGCTTACAAGGACAAAGCCCCACCGCTGAACTTTGAGCACTTCATTATCATGCTGGACATAAGAAGCAGTATTTCCTTTTGGCAACTATTCTCCTTTACTTCCCAATTTTGTATTGCTGTCTGGAGTTACAATAAAACACCAGGTCACTTGATTTTCTGCATTTTTACTTACTTACATGTACGAAATTTAACAAGTGTCTCACATTTTATCTTACATATTCACATAACCAGGTACACCGCAAAAGGGAAAGAGGCAGGCTGCTGTCAGATACATTAGATGCAAATGGCACCAATCATTTCCAATGACAGTAAGCTGCTACCCATCACACTCTGCACTGAATCTAACTGCCTTTGAAAGCCATTTGCGCACTCCCTCCTTTACCTCTGCTCTAACTGAAGTTTTGGCAATCAAGGACTGCAGCTACTTAAAACCAAGCTGAGGTCAGGTGATAGGTATTGGCAAGCCAAGAGCTCAGATTCTTTTTCCAAAGGCTTAATCAAATTCTGTTGAATATCAACAGCAACATTGATCAGGTCCTCTTGAAGCCTCAAGATGAATCCAACAGAGAGGCCCTTTTCCAGTCATACTTCAACTCTACTTCCTTGCCACAAGGTAAAGCTTCTAGCTGTCTCCCTAAGAGATACAACCCTATTTCATGGAGCACTAGCATGCATCTTATCTAGACAATCAGTCCAGAACAAAACAAGCCGGCTATCTTTGTTCCAGCAAAAGTCTGTAAAGTCTTTCAGCAACCGATCAGCAAACTTCTCATCCCCAGTGGCACTGGACCGCCATGTTTTCGTCAGCATGGTGTTGTAGGCCCAGTTGTAGCCAATGCGCTCTTCACAAAACATGTTCTGGTTGGTGGAGCTAGTGGAGTTGCGCCGGCGTCGCTGCTGCCCACAAGAAAATTTCCGCTTGGAATATGGTAGCTGCAAAAACACTGTTCCTGGAGGAAACAGACACGACTTTAGTCTTAGGCAGACTTAAGTCCCTACAACTAGTATCTGACTCATTAAATTCTGAAAAGAAAACTGGACTGAGTTCCATTTAATTGCCTTTTAGCAAGATTAAATGGGATATGCTTTTCCTCCTCTGCTTTTACATGCTACTTCCTGGAAATAACAACACTGGGAGAGAGCACACTTAGCCTTGCCTTTCTCTTGGTAGAAGGGAATGAAGCAAAGCTGTAGGCTCTGATCCACCTTTCTAATTTTACATCAAATTTCCATTCTCTTCTGCAATTTTCCAAAAGCTCTCTTCCTGTCATTGTCTTCATGTCTCAGCAACTCCTCTAAATATACTGTTACTTTATTGTAATATGCCATGCGTGGAGCTTAGTTAGAAGCGCTGACAGATCACCAACATTTATGGAGAATAATAATGAGAGCAAGCGGATCCTAAATGCTTTATCTCCCAACAAAGTGTATGGGTAGAGATGCGTCTACAACTGACCTTAAGCATGAGAACAGAGCACTGACTTGTCCCAACATCTTTCCCTCCTTCTAGCTTCTAGATACACATTTATTTACACTGCACTTCAAATAAGCTCTGCCTTATTTTTTTTATTTCTCCATGTCCTGGAAAGAAAAGTTTCAGAGACTACAAAGCAAGATTTCAAACCAATACCATTGATTAGCAGCAACACTTCGTGCTTCTCCTACTGCCTCTCCAGTTTTCTGGTTTGTGTTGACTGATACAACTACTTGTCATCTGACTAGGGACATAATGAGGACTAACATCACTGACACAAAACACAAACTGCATATAAAATGGTTCTTTTGTTTATAATAGCCTCCTCCTTGCCCCAATGCCTGCCAAATATTGCTCACCTGTGACATGGATATACTGGGGCTTGTTCTCAGCTGGGAAGTTGAATGCAGAGGCCGAGTATTTATCTTGCACAAATCCAAATCTGGAGAAACAAACACCAGGGGAATTAAAAAAAAAAAAAGCAAAAAAAAGCCATTTAGCTAGAATTCCTTCAGCCCAAGGCAGGGGCAGCAGGGAAAACCTTCCCCTATCACAAAGGCTCCCTTTTCTTATGGCCTGAAGGCAAGGGGAAAGGGTTGAAGAGAGCTGAGCTTCTCCAAATACTCTCCGCCCCTGCTAGGCACAGTGTGAAAGCTTGTAACTCCACACTGACCTCTGTCCTAAGTCATGCTGGAAACAAGAGCACCAGTAGCTCAGTTTGAGAAGGCACTCTGAGCAGTCTCTGACAAAATGGGGCAGCTGCACATGAATGAGGGAAGAGTGATGGTCAAGACAGACATTCCTTGGGTACGTTTCAAGCTGTAACATCTTTTTTTTTTTTCCCATGCTGGGCAATATTCCACACAGAACTTCAGGCAGCTCACCTGACAGTTCTTTGCTGTTTGGAGAATACTTGTTCCTCTTCTGCTTTCTAAGCTAATGTAAGTTTATTTCCAAGCTAAAGTCCATTACAAAAGGCAGTCTCTCTATCATGAAAAAGCCTTTGGCAGGAACACCACAAAACAAACTGACAGCTCAAGCAAAGGGGTAAGGCTAGATAATATTCAGTTTCCAAAAATTCCTTCTTAAACTGGGCCCAACCTCCTATGTACAGCTCACATCCCAGTCTCCTGCCTATTGTCAGTCATTGATTGTCATCCAGTTCAAGACTGTGTTAAGTACACATGAAGGAAATAACTGTCCCTTCTCAGAAAGAAATCTATTTACAGTTTACCTCCTTCTAACTCAGTATAGCAGGGCACCTTCCAAAGTCAATGCCCTCCCTAGCAGGAGATTATGGTTTGCTAACGAGTGACAGGCTGAAACACTATTTACCAGCCCCTTACACCCACAGAACCACCTCCAGGGATTCTAGTCATGTTTTAGTCTAATAATCTGCAAGCAGACTTCAGAGAGGCAGAAGGCACAGAACCCATGTGACTCAGGAGTGACCGTTCAGCACAGGTCTTCATCCTACATTATCCAGGGAGATATGAACCTTTCAGTCATTCTGCTCTGTACATACCTGTATGCTATTGCTTCCTGGAGGAGATGCATACGGTCCCAGTACGTTTCTGGTTCGAAGCCTGAAACAAACAAAAAGGTAACAGTTACTAGTAAAACCACTTTATTTCCTTCTTTTTCAAGACTTCAGTTTTCCTCAGAAGATCTCTGTGCACTTTGTTTTTTCTAGCCATTGCTTTTAGTCACACTTGTTTCTATCAGCTGTCCCTTAAATGCTGTCTTATTAGTGATGTGTCTTGTACACTCCCGTAGCAGATTCATCCCCGAATTTAGCTTTTGTGTCTCTCGAGATGAAGGAGAGGAACATAACGGGGTGTGTGAGAGGGGACAAGGAAGGAGAGTGGGCTGCTGTGTATGATCACAGAGTGCTCTGAAAAGATTTAGTGCAAAGTCAGTGGGGCTACAGTGACCTCAAAACATATGGATTTGTCACTGATTGTTTCACATTTATACCCAGACACTGGGTTAATGAAAATAAAGAAAACTATCATCTTTACTATTTTAAAACAGGGCCCTTCTCACGATGCAATTTTGCCTCTCTCTGCATGGGGACAGAGTTCTCTGATCTTTTGAGCTTCCACCTGAGACTTACTAGAACAGCATCACTCAAAAGGGCGATTGCAGAAAAGGAGATTGCAGTTTCTAGCTCTTAATCTCATGTGCAAACACTCTTACTGTGAATGTAACCATGGCAACATTAAAAAAAAAACAGAGGATGGCAGTCATGCAAGCCTAATCTCACTGAGGGGGAGAACTAACAAATGCAGAGCAGCTGTGGGCAGGGTCTACGAGCAAAACAGACTCTTACATCATGTCAAACAGAGTAACTACTTGATATAGGCTCCATAAGGGTATGCAACATTATGGCAACAAAGACCGCTGGGGGGAAAACCTTTCCTGTGCCTTGGTACTTTTTGCTGCCAACTTCATACACTGTTGCATGCTGATTAAGCCAGCACAGCTTCCTCCGAGCACCACCTTCCTGAGGGCGGCTGCTGACATGTGAAAACAGGCCCTTCAACCAGATAACGCATGTCTGGTAAATGAGGTTCTTCATGTCAGCTACATGCCAGGAGGGACCTGCTTTCAGAAAAGTACACCAAGAGGAAAAACAAAGATAATTTCTTACCATCAAACAAATGCTCACTACCCTCCTTCAACAAGCAGCTAACATTGAGTGGGATGAACAACTGAGCTCGAAGTGGGTCTCCATATAAGTAACTAGGCAACGCAAATGGGCCTTCCAAGACTGGAACTAGCAAGAAACCACAGGATGTGGCTTTCCGATGCCAACCCTGAACCTGAGAAAAGATTCAAACAATGAATCATGTGACATATGCCAAACTGAAGAAGGGCACTTATGTGCATAGGAGCAACTCATTCCCCAAGAATAGATCAGACATGCTCAATTCTCCACAGGCTCAGCTTGCTTTGCATGGCAAGCACACAAGCATCCTTGTAAGCAAAGCAGTACAAGCACAAGACATCAGGCTTTCCTTTTTTAAGTGCCACATCAATCAGAAAGCACTTTAAAATAGGACATTTTTCAGGAACTGATTCAGCCTACTTAGCATCAGTGGCTAAGCACTGCTGCTTTACTGGAACAGTGCAATAGGTTTTAAATAAAAGCGAAAACGATTACCTAGTGCTATCTGGCTGGGTGGGGTAAAACCTGGTGTTAAATAATTTGAGTTTTACAGAAGCTACAAAAGGGAAAACAAAAAACCTGAAAATTAAAAAGTTACAGAAACCACTTGCGTTTTCAATTAAAAATGTTTTCAGCAAGTTAAAAAAAAAAAAGCTAAAAAGCATTGCTGAACAGGAAGAACACATTGCCTGGAAAAGCCCTGTCATGAAAGCAATTCCACTGGGGTTTAAAGTTTTCAGGTTTGGGGATAGAAGGAATGCAATGTGAAATAGATTCTTTTCCAAAGACCCAGCTCAGGGCTTAACGTTTGCTTAAGGGGCACTTAAATTTATCACCTTGACCTGTACTGATCTCTGCATACTGTGCATGAAACCCACTAAAAGCAGAACACTCCTGCAGACAGAATGACTATAGATAGCATGACAAATGATGACCAGATGCAGCAATGCTAACAACCACCAGCAAAATTACTTATGGAAATAAGGACAGGTCCAACCCACTGTCTCTCTCCTAATACTTCACGTGACAATGTCCCCAGTAGTATAAGGGATACAGAGGCCAGACAGGCATTGCTGCAGCCGCCCAGAACACAAGGACTCTTACCATCTCAAAAAGAACAGCTGCAGTCACTGCCATCCAGTGTAACTTGATTTCAAAGGCAGCATTCAGGGAGAAATTGCCATGGTAATAACAACTGCACCACTCCAAACGGTCAGTGCGGTTATTCACATCCACATCAAGCGTCACTGTCCGTTGCTCAGGCACTGTGGCAGCTACGCAGCCAAGGAATATGGGTATATTTAAAAGATACATTAAAGAGAGGGTGGGAGACAAGATGAAGAGAACTGAAGAAACAAGACAAGCCATTTGAAATTAATTTGTCCTCCCACTCCTCCCCAAATATTTTTGGGCTAGCAGAATAGTCCCAGAATGCTGCTCATCCAGATCACAAAAGACAAAAAAACTGAAGTATTACTCATACCAGGGGTCTGTGCCACAGAATTACCTCCCCAAGCAGTCAAAAGACATTTCAGCTGCAATAGAGACAGAACCAAGAGTCAAGCAGCTAATCAATAAGCGACTGGTGCCATAATTAAATATGGCTAGACAACATCAGCTCCTTCATACCCAAGATATTCCAAATTGGTTTTAATATTTCTATATGCCCCCACCAGAAATTACAACAGGGTGCTGTCACACAGGGCAGGAGCATTCCAGGACTTTCCACAGCTAAAGGAGATTCGAAGTTAAACTTTTTGTTTCTTTAACCCCATATCAATATCCCACATTGCTAAAACTGCACATCCAACAGTTTTTGTAAAAGCATGAAAAGTCAGCCAAGACTCATGCAGCAGCATTACGATCACTGCAATACCTTCTGTTGCTTTGCAGTAAGTGCTGGGATAGTGCCCAAGATCCAGCTCACTTTGTGCCTTACACCCCAGCATCCCGGTGAAAGAAAACCTCGGATATCAGGCAAGAGAGGAAGAGAAGCACAGAAAGTGGAAGTGACCTGGCTGGTGTCATACAGCAGACTGAAATGCCAGAGACAGAACCCAGTCTCCCAACTTCGAGACCAAAGTCCTGCTATGAACCACATTGTCACTTTCAAGTTTTCCTTAGGCAAATACATAATTTAACATTTCTATAATGTTAAAAATTGACACAAAACAAAGGGGCTGCAATACTACTGTTGAAAGACTTTTGCCCTTTTTTTATTGCATGCATGAGGGATGGATATTGTTATTTCTCGCTTAAGTACAGGAAGATGTGCACCCTTTTATATGGTCAGCTTTTAAATGACCTTATAGTTTAATGGCTTAACGGCATTTTAAAAAAAAAAAAAAAAAGTTGAAGTTCTTTCCTCAAGGTCGATGGAAAGTTCCCACCTTCACTTCTACTGCAAGTTAGCTGGAGACAGTTTTCAAGAAAATCCTTTATATTGGTATTACTGCAGCTTAGGAACAGGGGAAAAAAAAAAGAAAAACCCAATAAAAATGGAAGAACATCACCCAGTTTTGTTTTGTAAATAAGATCCATTTTTGTCTTTGGGAAATGTATCATCTGCAATTTCTGAGTTGGTCTGGTATTGTCAGACAGACCAACATCTTGTGATTTTTTTTTCCTTTCTCCTTTTCAGTGAAATATTACTGTGAATGCAATGCTTGTGGTTAGAAGGTTACAGTGCTGGTTTTGTAACGAAGTATCTTGGAAAACAACATCCCAAAAGCTGTAAAATGAAAGCAGCTCAGTCAGGTAGATGTTGGTCATTAGCTAAGAGGTCAGTGATAACACCACAGTCCAGCGTGCCCAAACTAGCACACTATGAAGAATGAGCTACCTGCTCCCTTACACTGTTCATTTTTCCAGATAATCCAGACTCCCCATTAGGGTTGGAGCTTCTCTCTCCACCTTTCCTGCAGCTGTAATTACAGGCAAAGCAACAGGAACACAGTCCAACCAGGTGAGCTAATCAAAAGGGCCTTAAAAACTGCTGAGAAATATCCATGTGTCTGAATTCAGAAGCTTCAGATTAAAACTAACTTAATTTTAATAGAATAAACTCTGGCTTCCATAGATCTGATTTTTAAGAGGACTCACCTGCTTCCCAATTGTCTTGTACCACTGCGTATTTAACTAATGATTTATTGAGTAAATCGGAGAGGAGCAGGCAGGTTATTCTCCAGTCACAGACTACACTACATACATGACTACAATTTCCAGTGCATGCATTGCTATAAATCAAAAGGGACAAGATTAGGTCAGACTTCCACTGGGAAGGGAAAGTGGTGGGGGGGAAAATCACTGGGCAAGTGATAGGGGAATTGGGAGGGATAAAGATTTTAGAGATACATGGAGCTTGTTCCAGAGCTCCCAATGCTTGCATGCAATTTTATGTCACAGCCTGACATTTAGGGAAGGTGGGGAGGGGAAGAAATAAAAACCACAACCAAATCAAAGCCAAGAGAGGAACAAATGAAGTCACGTGGACCAGAGGTCATCTGGGTTTAGTAAAGCTCCTTGCCACAGATGAACTGCTAAAGTTTTTTTTTTTTTAATACTGTTTAGAAGAGGGACAGCACAGAAACATCAGTTAAACCAGTTCCTTTGTAAGAAAAAAGTTCCACATTGGATTTTTCTCCAATAAACTATTATTCCTGGAATAACCAGACCGCACGTGAGCAATCTGGAGGCGTTTTTCATTTATCCAAGGACTGCAAATTAGCTAAATAGCAGAATGGACATAATTCCAACTGAAATTAAAATGGAGGGCTACACAGGTGTGTAACTGCATCGCATGC